TGTGGTACTTGCTGGACTGGACTGGGACTCTCTAGACCCTTCTGCTGACTGTAGGCAGTCGTACCGTCGACTCAGTGCAGTTGCACTGAGGTCCTACCTGTTGACCTTGCCACTTGTCTTCGTCTGAAAACGTGGGCCTACCTTAGACTCACCACTTGACCACTTGCCGACCTTCTAGAAGGACTACAGCTAGGCCTCTGGACTCTACTTGGACTCCTACCTTACAGGTCGACAGTTCGAATCTCCCTACAGCCTACAACCTACGGCGACCTACTTACCACTGGCTATCATGCAGGTCACGGGTTCAACTCCAGGGAACTGTGCAGATACTGTACACAGGTAAGCTGAGGTCAAGGGATCGACCCCTGGGATCTGCATCAGCTACTGCCAAAGGTGAAAACTGTTTCACCTCAGCGACGACCGAAGCTGCCGCAAATACATGGTTATATGATCCTGGACATCCCGACAGCCGTCCGTAGTGTCTAGGGGCGCCGCCTGGAAAATTTGACTAGAAGTCTTTGTGACCTTCGTGTTGTCCACGCAGCACCCTAGAGTGTTTTCGTGAAAAGAGTCTGAGCGTTAGAATCTGTTCATACTACTTCATACTGCGGATGACCTTGTTTCTGAATCTTTTTTTTCCTTCTTCTTCTTTTCTTTTTCTACCTTGTTGCTGTAGTGTGGCATACTGCGCAGCCACACGGGCCTGCAGGGCCCGACCAGACGGAAAATAAGGGCCCTCTACAGGCCCTGTGTCATTTTCAGCCTAAAAACCTGAAAACAAGGGCCTACAGGCCCTGTGTCGTTTCAGCCTACAAGCCTGAAAACGAGGGCCTACAGGCCCTGTGTCGTTTCAGCCTAAAAGCCTGAAAACGAGGGCCATTTTCAGGCCCTCATAAAGTCGACCTGTGTCGTTTCAGCCTGAAAGCCTGAAAACGAGGGCCTACAGGCCCTGTGTCGTTTCAGCCTAAAAGCCTGAAAACGAGGGCCATTTTCAGGCCCTCATAAAGCCGACCTGCCCTGAAACTTAGGCACCAGACCAGGGTTTTAGCACAGGCCATTTTGGGCCTGTTTTGAAGACAACCTTTGTTTGAACTTCAACGCCATTTTGGGTCTGGCACGTTTTGGCATTGGCAAGAGCAGCCTCCAGGATGGGCCAGCACTATATAAGACTGGTCCGCCCTACAGGCTGCAGAGAGTCACAAGGTAGTTCATAGGGACTTCCCAGGCACTTCACGTGCAGGAGGCAGGAGGCAGTCTTCAGGATTCGGCAGCAGCACTCTGGAGGAGCGCTGCAGTAGTAGTAGTAGCGTTAGCAGTAGTCTTCAGCGCTGGGCACTATTAGGAGCTAGAGTAGCGTTGGAGAGAGAGGGATGATTCGCAGAGGCCAGGGAGACTTACCTGTGGCGCCATAGCTCCAGCTTCGTCTTCCATGTACGCAACAAGGCGCCACCTCACAGGTTAGTACCGGACTGAGAGAGAGAGAGAGAGAGAGAGTTCTTCTTCTTGCTCTTCGAAGTCCATCTCTCCCTCACCCTCTCGCTACCTAACTTCTCAGTATCTGCAGACTACGAGAGAGAGAGAGAGAGAGAGAGAGAGAGAGAGAGAGAGAGAG